AAAGGTGTCCCAAAATTTGGGTTGATTTTAAGATCCTAGCTTCCCAACATAAACATGGCAGTTTGGTGTGTAAATCTGTTCTATTCACAGATAAACAAGATAAATCCAGATACCGTATATGTATTTACATAGCCAAGCCCAAAATGTAAGTGCACTTATAGTTTCTTATACCCATATATTTTTACATCAGCTGTATGTTTTACAACCAACTGTGTATAGAGAGATGAGTGTATTTATACATACATGTAAATAAAATTCGATAAGTATATTCTATATACCCAGCAAGTCTAAGGGACAACTTTTTGAGGTCCTATGAGATCTCGTGGAAAGTGGTCCAAAAAGGAACATGTTCTTGGGACTATGTACTTTTTAGGTCCTTTGGGCCTAAAAGGAACGTTGCACAATACCATCTATAGATGTACTTTTTGGGCCCTTTGGGCTCCAAAGGAACATGTCATAATACCATAATATAGGATATACTTTCTGAATCCTTTGGGCTCAAAAGGAACGTTGCACATACATATCTCAGGCTGAGGCAGGGGTGTGGCAACCCCGCTTCAGCGAAGGGTTGTGGGTGTTTTTTTCAGATTTGAAAATCAGCCTCAACTTGAGCAGACCCTCGTATGGACCCAAAAGGAACCTCGTAAGGACTCAAAAGGAACCTCGGCGAGCGTGAGCAAAGCGTGAGCAAAGCGTGAGCAAAGCGTGAGCAAAGCGTGAGCAAAACGTGAGCAAAGCGTGAGCAAAGCGTGAGCAAAGCGTGAGCAAAGCGTGAGCAAAGCGTGAGCAAGCGTGAGCAAAACGTGAGCAAAGCGTGAGCAAGCGTGAGCAGCCCATTCTTGATGACAACATTTCGCAATAAAAAGTCGTTCGCTTGTAATTTTCCCGCTGGTTCACCACCTCAAAACAAAACAAAAACATCCAAAAACAGGCTTGACATTTTGTGGTTGAATGTCCAGGCCAGAAAACGAAAACAGTAAATCAGCACGGCACAAGCATTGAACTTGGAAAAAACTATGTCAGCTGCCTCAGTGGGGTTGCCCAGTGGTATGTTGAAACAAAACATCTAGCACTACTGGCACTACTATATAAACTCCCGGCGGTAGAATCTTCGGCACAGTTTTATCAACGCTGCAAACCCTCGGCTGTAGAAGTTTCGGAAAAGTTATAAAATCCTCGGCCGGGGAATCCTCGGCATTGCTATGAATTCTCGGCGACAACCCTTTTTAGGATCACTTTTCGCAAGGATGTATTTTTTGAGGTCTTAGGACTTCTTGGTATATATATATATATACATATATATATATATATGCCCCGGCATAGCCTGGGCAGTGGATGTTGGGAATCTTGGTCTCTTCTGCAGCCGTTCTGATTTCCCGATCCAACTTAGAGCTGCCAACCACGATGACAGCCTTGGACAGTCGCCGGTGCGTTGGGTTGGGCGTGTGGCTATGTTGCAGATGTGCCATTTCTAGATGATTTCTGATGCTTGTGCACCTAGTAACATGTGCGCTTTCCCACCCATTTAAAATGATGTAGTAAGGCTTACTTGGTAACAAGGTGTGTTTTTCGAAATTATGACCAACTACAGGAAGGTAGGTGCGGTTTTCTGGGCAGTTACAATGTGCTCCGTGATGCTTGCTGGTTTATAAATTCCCATTCGTAGTTATATGTATGCCAGCCGTAAACACATCAGTGGACTTGGGTATGTCTATTTGGCAAGTCCGAACTGGGGCTGCGGGGTTCAGCCCTGCTTAAGTCGTGTTAAATTTTATATTGTTGATGTTTGTTGGCGCAGGCGAAAGCGGACAGTCAGTCGCAAGACGCGCCACGCGCTGCGGGTCCGCCGCACGATCGGTAAGACAGTGGCGTCGTTCTTGGCGCGCTCTTTTGGCGGTATAAACCGCTTCAAAGCCGCCATGAAGGCTGAGAGTGCTGCGGACCTTGCAGCGAAGGCCACGCGCAAGCAGCGCCACAGAGCACTGTCGAGCTTGTCCAAGTTGCAGAAAGCAACTTGGATGCTCGAGTGAGCCTACGCGTTGACTCTAGTTCGATGCTTGCAAGCAGTGTGCTAGAATTCGGGGCTAACGAACGGAAAAGATATTTTTTAGAACGCCTGAACTTGGCAATTTCTGATGAAAAAGGGGTACTTAGAACAGATTTCATTTTTTTGGATATATACGCAGATCATCAATTAGATGTAGTGTGGATATAAAGGGATGAGCGGTGCAAGAATGGTTTGTTTGGATTCTTTTTGAACCATAAGGATTCCAGGTCAGTCATAGTCGTACTCTATGCTTCTCGTTTTTGGAGATGTCTTTGAACATGTTATAAGTAGCCGTTTTGGTGATGTTCCAAGTACTGTTTTGGAAAAAATGTTCTAAGTACTTGTCCGTCTATGCATGCAAGTTAAGGGGTATGGGTCTGGGAACGCGGTTTTGTTTTTGTTGTCGCGATCAAACTTTTTTTGGGAATCAAGCGTATTACCAATGCAGCACATTGCAAATTATTTGCAATTGGCGTAGAGCCGGGCATCAAAGCCCAACAGCGGGCACCAAAACACAGGGTCTCACGATCTGCTCTGTGGTAAGATTGACGTGAAATACCAGGGTCGGGAAAGGGTTTGTAGCTGACGCATTACCATGTTTTTAAGTTGTGCGGTAATTCTTGGGACCGCCTTGTAATTTCCATGGTCAAAAGTTTCAAAAGCATTCCTGAACAAATCGTTCTAATGACAAACACCAACATCCAGCATACCACCAGTTATTTGCATTGTGGCACCCTAAAATAATGGTTGGTTCAATCAAATACCGTCCCTCCCCCCTTCACAACGTAATCCTTCATTGCGGTACCAGCAGGAAATTCCCTCGCATTACCTTATAGGCAATGTGTAGGCTTTCATGGCATCATGCTGGCCAAATCATACCACGGGGAATCATTGTTTTGCGGGGCCAAAAATGGGTGTTTGCAAACAACCGAACGAATAAGCAGCCAAAGGACCTAGCTGGTGATCGCAGCCTTTGTTCAAATCGTGGTCGATCGTGCAAATAAACAATGATGATTCACATACGCGACTCGAGACGTGTTTTTGGAGAATGTTCTCGTGTTGTTTTCAAAAGAAACAGGAAAGCCTGCAGGGCCCCCCGGTGTTATATGGTCTATATTCCGTACAAACCCAGCCATGATCCGGCGAGCAGCGCGTGCCAGGCGCATTTTGGAGACGCCCGTCTTTGGAGGCGCACAGTAGACTTAGTCAAGCAATGCCATAAATTCAACATGTTGGGCATTCTAACCCCAGGCGGGCCGCGACGCTTTCTCCGCGGTTTTTTTTTCCCTTCCATGCGTGAGCGCCTTGTCGCGGCGGAGGGGCTTGAGCCCGAGGCCTGCAAATCAAGGCCTGGGGGGACCAAGCTCACGCGTTTCACCTTGCTTTGCTCTGCTCTGCTCTGCTTTGCTGCCTTGCCTTGCTTTACTGGATTTTGCTCTTTTGCTCTTTGGCTCGTTGATCCTTTGGTTCTTTTGCTCTTTTGCTTTTTGTGTTCTTTTTTTTGCTTGCGGGCTTGCTTGCTTGCTTGCTTGCTTGTTTCCTTGTCTGCTGGCTTGCTGGCTGGCTGGCTTGCTTGATTGTTTGCTTGCTTGGAAACTGGCCACCAGCATTCTCTTCTCATCGGCAGCCACTTGCAGCCACTTGCAGCCAATCGAGTGGCCGCCAGTGGCCGCCAGTGTCCGCCAGCATTCTCTTCTCAGCGGCAGCCACTTGCAGCCACTTGCAGCCAATCGAGTGGCCGCCAGCGGCCGCCAGTGGCCACCAGCATTTGGTTTTTCATCGGCAGCCACTTGCAGCCACTTGCAACCACTCGAGTGGCCGCCAGTGGCCGCCAGTGGCCGCCCGCATTCTCTTTTCATCGGCAACCACTTGCAGCCACTTGCAGCCACTTGCAGCCAATCGAGTGGCCGCAAGTGGCCGCAAGTGGCCGCAAGTGGCCGCCAGAGCAAGTGGCCGCAAGTGGCTGCAAGTGGCCGCAAGTGGCGGCAAGTGGCCGCAAGTGGCCGCAAGTGGCCGCCTTTGCCAAAATCAAATTCGTGCCCTTCTGCACGCTCTCTGAAACAACGTGTTGTTCAAATGCAGGGTGTTCCTTTCGACCAACAAGAACACTCAGCATGACAGCCTTCAGACACTAGCGGTCACTAGCAAGCAGAGGCACGCGTGAGCTACGACATTTGCATGCAACGTGCGCACCAAAAGAACAAATCCAAGTCCAAATCTCAACGAATGTTGGTGCAGTTCCAAGCTCCAGCACACTTCAAGAGAACACATCTCAGCAACGAAGTAAAGTTGTCCCACGGGGTGGACAGCACAGCAGGTAGCAGGTGGAAAAATAGGGATCACACCAAGTTTGCAACCAAGGAACTACAACTATGTGCGCCATCCGGTGCCCACTTCGAAGTGCAGTGCAATACATGTTTGGCTTTGGTGTCCTTCATGACTCACTGGAAACGGAATTTGACCATATTCAAGTGGAAACATCCTTTGTCCATTGTATTGTGTTCATAGGTAGGCTACATTTTTTAAATTTTGAGCGAATGAACAAATTGATCGACGGTGCATACGGGCACCCCTGTCAGATGCACAAGCGCACTTGGAATGATTGATGGGCCAACGTTTGCGCGAACTTGTGAATGGTTTCCAAATTTTCGGTCTTGTAATTTTATCATGGTTTGTGAGGGATGAGACCTCATGCAGATGGTTGGATCAGGGTAGCGTTCGCAGGCAAAACGAAAACAATATTGTGAACATGTTTCACGCCAAGCGCGCCTTCCCATCCTCATGCAGAACCGTAGACGGCTCAGATCAATGGCGACCTCAAGGTCAAATACTCAATGTAACCAACGCCAAAAAATATGAGGTGTGAGAGAGGTTCCATTAACAGTCAACAACACCATTCTGTGGCTTTCACGGTTTAGTGATTTCAAACGTTCCTTGATCAGTGAGCGGCGCCATGTCGGGTTCCCAAGTTTTGACCTTTACAGTTGGAGCGGCGGCTGGGGTGTGTGTTGCCAGTGCGCTCTTCTGGGCTACGAAACGTGAGAAGTCTCCTAAAGCTGTGGCTACGGAACCAGCGCCTGACGCCAGCAACGGCATCAACGGCATCAACGGTGTCAACGGCGTCAACGGCGTTGCCGAGAAGACGCCCGAGAAAGCGCCCGAAGCCGAAGAGAAGAACCAGGTGCCAGCCGAAGATCGTCCAGCAGATGCGCCTGAAAGCTGCCCGGGTGTCAGTAGCAGCTCGGACCGCTTGGATTTGAAGTTGGTTTTTGATGTCCATAAAGAGTTGTGCGTTTGCTGGGGGACAGCTATGGAACATTCATATATTGAATATTGATGAATATTTTCAATTGGGGTCAGTGGCGTAGTGCGCGGAACTATTCTTTGTGCAATTTTTCCCGTTCATGCAGCTAATGAATGCTGGGGTGATGTTTTTTTCGCCATTCATTTCATGTTTTTTCTCGTTTCCCGCTGCTCCTCCGACCGACTCTTTTTCTTTTGTATTTCCATCATTTTTCCACCTCCTTTTGTATTCTTGCCTACACCTCTTCCTTAATCATAGCTTTCGTCCAGGCAATGAATTTTTCGGTGGTAGCTATGACACAATGGGCGCAGAGGTACGTCGTTCAGGTTTTCTTTCTTGCAGGTTAAAACATGTTACAACTATGTGCCGAGTGATGTTCAAACGATTCCGAAGGTGAATACAAAGACGATACCACCATGATAGCTTGTATAACTAGACTGGCTACGTGAGGAAAAGGCCTTCCCATCAATTTCTGCCAAAATGCACGACAATGCCGAGGTGAACAAGCTGGTAAGAGTTCCTCCTGTAACGGATGCCCGAACCAGTCCCTATGTGCATCGGGTGAAGCAAAGAAGAAAGATCCAGCACTGGCAGATGTGCAAGATCGACTTGCCAAGGTGAAACGGAAGATTTTGGTGTTGTCAGGCGTGGGGGAAGTCATGTGGGGTGACGGAGTGGCAGAAGTGTTCCAAACCAAAACGGGTATAGCAGGTTATGGTGCAATTCAAAACCAGCACTTATGTTTGAATTTTGTTGAATTCTATTGTTAATGTAAGACACGCAAGTTCTACATTCATTGATATGTCACATTTTTCCACAAATTGAACGGCGTCATGATGATGCCAATTCCCCTTGTTGAATGATGGCGGATGGTATTCGTGTATAGGATGCTGATCTTAAGAATCAGAAAGGAAATCATGTCATCCCATTCCCGAATATCAGATGCTCCCTTCTGGGGCCCCTACATTCGTCATTAGATTCATTAGATCCAGTGCGAAAGCGGAGGCCCCTACGGGAATATTTGATAATCTTGGCTGTCGTAAACTGGGATCCCTGCAGAGTTTTTGAGCTCCCCTTCTCCGCAAAAACCTTGGTTTGTTGGTTTGTTGACCGACTTGATTAGGGAAGGACGCGGTGGAAAACCTTGGAACACCTTGGAAAACCTTGGTTTGTTGAGGCAAGGGCGGGGTGGGCAAGAGCACAGTCTCCGCACAGCTGTCCTTCGGTTTCTCCGCACGCAGCATGGATGTGGGCTTGCTGGACGTGGACATTTGTGGCCCCAGCGTGCCACGCATGTTGGGACTCCTAGGGCAAGACGTTCATCAGAGCTCCGTTTCTTGACGGTATAGCACTGTACAGCTGGGTCGGCTAAGATGGGTCTCCGATGGGTCAATGATGAGCCGACCCTGCTGTACCCAGGTGTTTTTTTTCTCTGTGTGATGCTTGTGAAAACCATTTCAAACTTGTCCCAAAAATGGGTCACCAGCTTGACTCAGCTTTTTCGCATCTTAGGAAGGCTGGTCCCCGATCTATGTGGACGACCACTTGGCGGTGATGTCCATTGGTTTCATGTTACCCAACCAGGATGATGCCATCATTTGGCGTGGGCCCCGCAAGCAGCTCGCCCTGCTCGACAGTCGTTTACAGGATCTGACAGACCCATCAGTCACTGATAGATTTATGAACATATTAGCCCATAGTAGTCAATATATTCGTCAATATTAGTCCACATAGTAGTCAATATTAGTCAATATTAGTGAATATTATCAAGTATTACCCAAGTATTACCCCATATTATCCAAAGTTGCCCCATGCTTGGGCTGGTGCGATGATAATGAAGTCGCTGACGTGCTGGCTGAAACATTCGTTCTGGGCATTGAGCCAATGGCTCGCCTCTATCCCTTGGCGAAAGTCTCGGAGACGGCCATGGAGCGAGAGATTATCCATTCTGGAGAATGGCGCAGGGGATGTTGGATAATATTTAGGGGGAAACAGCCATTGTCATATGAATATTATGAATTCAAATGAGCCAGTCTCCATTTTTCTCAGATACGATGCCATGGTCATCCTGCTGTTTCAGTAACTTCCAGCTACGGAAACCTAAAAACCGCCAATCATCATTTTCTCGATGAAAAATGGATACCCTTGGTAAACATACAAAAAAACTATGGAAGATCACCATTTTTAATGGGAAAATCCACTATAAATGGTGATTTTCAATAGCTATGTTAAATCACCAGAGGGTAAACATGATAATCAACATGGCATTTTGTTGGGCTTTGTAACACTTTGCCGCGCCCGATGTCCAGACACATCCTTTGCGTCGCTGCGTCCATGTTGTCAGTCCTTAAGGAATGGCCTCATTAAGCAGTTCTTGACCGACGTGACCTGGGGTGAGCTCGATGCCCTGATCATCGACACTCCACCTGGAACCTCTGATGAGCTGCTTGCTGATATTTTGTGGAGAAACTGGGGTGACAAATTGCTGCGACTTTGAAACATTTGATGAGAGCATGAATATAGTAACGAAAGCCAGCTTTTGCTAGCTGAAATCCCTAGTGGGTTGGCAAGCAAGGTCTTGGCACAGGCCCATCCCTCATCGTTAACTAACCCTCCCGGACACATCTTTGAGCTGATGATCAATCCCTCGCTGTTCTCTTCCTCGTCACCCCTTGGTTGGAGTGATGTTTATTGAGACATCATTGTGAGTGGCTACGTATTTCATGACCAGGATGATATGACATCATTATCTCAATATCTTCATCCTCCTTGCTCTTCCTCCCCCTCTTCCTCCTCGTTGTACCCAGCAAGCTAGCCCTCGTTCCTTACCCTTTGGCCTCAAAACTTGAAGTAGAATTTGCTAGTTTAAATGTGAATCAGAAATTTCAAGAGACAAAATAACCCAGACACACACACACATGCACACACACACACATATCATATCATATCACACACACACACACATATATATATATGCAGATACCTGTTCTTCAAAGAACACAGCCATCCAGTGCTTAGAGCCCATGATTCAGGATCCATTCCACCCATTCCACCCATGCATGAAACGTGCCCTCTGGGTGTAGAATGGCAGCTCCTTAAGGCACTTGTCGATCGTGACCTACCTTCAAGATGCCAAAATCGATGGAGCCATCATTGTCACAACTCCTCAGGAAGTGGCATGGCTTTCTGAAGCCTTTTCCGGCGGCTACGGTTAAGCAAGCAAACATGGCTATGGGAAATGCATCATAGAAGATGGGCTTTGAATTGCCCGCCCTCACAAGTCAATAATGAGACGCTAGTTTATTACTGTACCCGTCTTGTTGAGATGTTAAAGGAGATTCTTCAGTTTCCAACCATCTAGTATCCATATGATTCCGCATATGGTTCAATCCCCATGCTTGCTAGCCTAAGTCCAATTTCTTTTAGTCCAATGTTGGCTGGTGAAATTCTATTTTTCTTGATGAAATGCCTATCCTGCCCATTGAATCCTCATTTCGATTTGTGAGTGGAAAATCCACGGCTGGCACCGGAACCGGTGGAGGTGAGCCTGATGGACGTGAGAAAGGAAATCAACTTTTGTCGTCGCGTGAGTTTGCCGGTGCTGGGAGTGGTGGAGAACATGCGCCTCGCCTTGCGAGAAAGGGATAGAAAGGGATAGAAAGGGTAGATCTGAATTGGGAGAGTTCTGAACAGCTGTGTTTTTTTTTTTTTCCTCTGCCTGTGGATCACAGCTTACGTTTGTATCTTGGTTTCTATTCCGTTCTGTGGCCGACCTGTAGTAGCCGCTGGGTCAGTTATTTTCCAGGAATCAAGTATGAAATTGTCTCTACTTTCTTCCTGCGAAATTAGACAAGTTTTTGGGTATGATTTCTTGACCCGCAGGCTTTACCCAAATCATTGTTACATTTGAAGTCTTTGTGAATTTAGTTGACCAGCAGGAAAGCGGGCTTGTGTGGGAGTTTTAGTTTGCCTTGTTCAAGTCCCCCCTTTCTTACCCACCAGACAATCCAGACACTTTAAAAAATACCACCGTAACACCATTTCTGGTGAGTTCAGCCTCAGGAGTGGCTACTGCTGCCCCTTGTGCGGCCATACGGAGCGCATCTTCTCGCCCTCCACGGGTGGCGCACAGGCCATGTGCCAACAGATGGATGTGCCCTACCTGGGCAGCGTCCCCTTGGACGGCCGGGTGGCGGCCGCAGGGGATCAGGGGATGCCCCTGGCGCAGCTGCAGCCAGATGGGCCCGTGGCCAAGTGTAGCTGAGCCTAGTGATGTGTCAAACTGTCAAACGATGAACAAAATGAATTGAGAGGTAGCAGGTTCTATGCAACTAGCGGTTTTGGCTGATTTTATGTTGAGGGTGGTCAATTCTTTTGGAGAAAACAGCGTGCGTTTCTACATTGTCCTGCTTTAGACTTTGCCTTGAGACGGTTTGATGATCCCTCCATCCAATCCTTGAGTTTGACCTACACCCATTTGATTGTGCTACTGGTAGCTTCGGCAGTTCCCTTTGGGTCATCTATAGAATCTATAGGATGCATCAGGCAATGCCATGGTACATAGCATTGGTAAGATGGATGACAGGGAGGGATGTAGACACTATTTTGCAGTGTTACAAATCCGGTGCAAATGTTGGCCAAACAGTAACATGCATGGTCAGTGAAAAAGATTCTTCTCTTTTTGGGCCAGAATTTCACCAACACTATCCAACACACAGTTGTTTTTACGAATGTGTTTACCAATGCCCAGGGTCCAAAGAAAAATACGCGGAGCGGAGCAGCGGAAAAACTGGGCCGAGGCATCGACAAGGTGATTGATGCCATCCTGACGCAAACAGACAAGCACTGAATTGAGGCGACGAGGTTCTAGAAACATAGGACCTTTATGGACCTTTCATCAACTTCTGACCTCGGATTTGCTGGACACTTTTTGTGGAATCATTGGTGTGTAGGCTATAGGCCTCATCCTTGGCTATATATTTCTGTGTGGTAGTAAGTATTTTCATGGTGCATCCGCGATCAGACTTAGACTTAGAGGAAGTCGTTTTCGAGCCTCCCGCTGGCGCAGAGCTTGTACAATTCGCTCGTGGCACTGTGGTTTTTTCGCAGCCTCCTTGCGAACCACAGAAGCCCAGACCTCTTTCCAGCACAGCATATCTGGAAGAAAAAAGGCGATCAACCACACTGCTGCACTGTGGGCCATTCTTCGTCAGGAATCCAAGGATCAATAAGCAATTGGTTCCGTTCATTGGCCTGCCATTGTCGCTCACAGCATCCTACGTGCTGGATTTGCGTCCGCCAGTCAAATTTGAAATGGCGTGCGACATGTCCGAAGAACTCCAAGCAAAGCTTGAAAGGTGGGCAAGAAGTACAGTTCAAAGGGAAAATCCTGACAGGAAAGCTGTCATCATCAAGTCACAGACCTGGGGCTGTCGCTGCACCATGTCAGATGCGGGAAGATTCCCCTCAAGAGGCCGGGCACTGGTAGGGCTGTTGTTTTGCCCATTGATGTTCCTGTGGTCGATGGTTCTTGCAAAAACCTCTTTGGTTTTGGAGATGTGATGCGCGGTAAAGTATAAAGTATATACATGTGGGTATGTTAAAGACCAGATGTACCAGCCCGATTCCAAGATTGTTTCCAGTCACCACCTGCGTATTTTATTCCTGGTCTCTGGTTGGATTTTCAATCTACCGGATCTGGCAGGCTAGCAGTGTGGAAAAGCCAAGCTTTCTGAGGTCCGAGCCTCATCAGGATCTAGCGATGTTGTGTGCTCGCAGACGTTGATGAGTTTTCCTTGACCGGTTGGTGGTTTAGGCAGCCATCTCAGAAGTTTGCTCATAGCTTGGGCCAATTTATCAACCAGCTTCTGAGGGGAGAATATGTCACATGGAGTCTTTTTCGCATCCTCAAGCTGCATGTCATTGTGATTCCATGAAATCGTGGCATCTAGGTGCATAGCCGATGATCACCTCAGGATGCCTTTATAGGAATATCTTCGGAAGATCTTAAATTGGGATACCATAAAATGTCATCATGTATGGGTCTTCATATGGGTCCAATGTTTTGCTCTTTGCCAAAAAAACATGGTTTTTAGGTGATACAGTGATACGGCAATTCTTCATGTTTTGTTGATTCATGCGTTCTGAGCTCTTTGTAGTTGTCATTATTATCAGAATGTCACTCGGGCTTTGGCTGTGGTGCTTTTGACGTGGAGGGTGCCCTTCAAGTTTCGACTCTGAATTTCAAACTGCTTCAAAGAATCGCTAGCCTTTGCACGTATAAGAATGGCTAGATGGTCTTGGATTTCTATTCTTTTGGCAAGTTCGCCCCATGCACGCTACCTTGTGGTTTGAAAATGAGGCACAAGTCACTTATTCACTCTTATTCACCCGGTCTCGAATTCGGATTTGTTAATGGCCTTTGTGATCTTGAATGGCTTGGTTGGGGAAAAACCGGACTTAGCCATCTGCTTGTTTTACTTGTGGCAAAACTCTGACAGCAATTACCCCTAAATGTGAAGCTACGATTCCCACTCTAAAAATGAGAAGGGAGAAAAATCTTTGAAGATACTTTGCAACACGATTTTCAAAAAGTTGCATTGGCCGGTCTCTGACGTTTGTACCATTTGGAACAAATGAAACGGCGAATTTTTGCGCTCAAACGGCGAATTTTCCCGACCAAACGGTAATTTTTGGCGAACCACTTTTTTTAGCTTTTGTTTGCAAACCAACCCCAAACTGAATCCTTTAAGCTTCTGTCTGGCCAATCTAAGTACCAGCACTGCTCCCACTCCGTTATTTGGAATGGTTGGCACAGTTTTTATTGAAACCTTTTGGCTGAATGAAACCAGGGCAACCCCAAAAACTCCTAGGATTTTTTTGCCCGAACCTTGGATCTATTTGGCCCCCATGCTTTGCACAACTTTGATGTCATGTGTTGCAGTTGACCATGGAGAGTCAGCTATGCAAGTGCTCGGAAAGAAACAAAAGGCTGACACAGTTGCGAGGCCTTTAGCCAATCGGGCATGACGGACAATCGAGCAACATGTTTTTCCAAAATTCAAATATACATTCAACTCGACTACAACCTTTTTCTTTACATGTGTATGATGGTATCGTTCGCCTAGTGAATAAAAAAGCGCGCGTGTATCTCAACTTCAAACGGCAAAAACCAGACGAAACGGCAAAACACATGTTATTTTTGCTTGACGGCGAAAATTATGTACCTCTGGGTTTCCTAGGTGTGTGTGTATATATATATATATATCATCAGTAACTAGTATACCATATGATTTTTGAGATATTCCCATGGGATACCCCACAGGCGTTGTATCCCCCGACCATGAGACCGTCATGTCTGAGGCCTGCCTTCGATACCACGCCGAAAACATGCGTTGACGTTGAAAGGCACTGGATGGCTCGGATGGATGGATGGACGGACGGATGGATGGATGGACATATATCGAAATATGTTATGTAATGACGATTAAGTGTCTATGGGCATACAATTACACATCTACATAGCTTATATGAATGTAGATTTTGTGACTGTAGATGGTAGGTATAACCAGATTTACAACTATTCTTCAAATATGAACAGCCACCACCTGGAGCCACATCCTTGTCAGGCATGAGGTGGAGCAACCAGAGGCTCCAACGCCTTGGCGGCCCAGAGTTATTGAGTTCACATTCAAAGAACATGTAACAAGTGGAGCATCCAGGTATTTCCTTCATATTTCATGATATTTTTCGGATATTTTTTGATATTTTTATTTCATGATGCTTCATGTGTTTGCAGTATCTCGTCACATCTCATCATTTCTACATCACCTTAATGACGGTCTGAGCACCGTCGCGCAACGTTGCGCTGAGGCCTTCATTGAGTTCTCCGGATCTCCCGGAGCGGCCCTTCAGCGCTTCCAAAGACAGATCCGTTGTTGGCGCCGGTGGGGAGCTGAAAGGAGCCAACGGCTGAAGTCCTCCTGTACATTCCTACAGTCTGCAGTCCAGTCTTGAAACCAGGGCTACAATCTGGGTACAATCTGGGTACATGGAAATGGCCGAAATGGAACATGCGTGGGTTCATCGAAGGGTAAGGACAAACATTTCTGTAATCATGTAGGCTTCATATCTAGCTGTTTCTTGGTTTACCACAGGTGAAAAGTGCCTGGAATCCTTGAAAAAGGCCCCGTTTGTCCAAGGTTTCGTGAAGCTCTCGGAAGTGGAAGCCACGCAACGCTTGAACGACTCCTTGGGGCAGGTGCTGACCTCTCCTGGGCTCCTGGGATCCTGGGATTGAAATCCTTCGGCCATAGAAATAGTTGATTTACCCACTCAAAATGGTGATTTTAACCATAGTTATATATGTTGAAAAATGTTGAACAAAAATCACCACCTACATGCCTGCAGTACAACATAGTACAACACTTCAGCCTCATACAACTTCTTCACATGCACAGCCTGCTGCGCTGCATTGGATGACCATGGCCAATCATGGCCACGGACTATTGTTCCACGCGTTCGTTTCGTCTCAGCTCAAAGCTAGCGCTGCTTCATTACCGCTTGTCTCAAGTTCTGCTTCTGTTTGCTTTTTGGTTGTCATGGCGTGAGGCGAAACCTATATCAGCGTTTGCTTGACCATTGATAGGTCGGAATGAACTCATGCAGCAAGTGCTTTCTTCAATTCCTTTATTTTAAGCTTCAAAATTGGTTGTATTTTGATTGTGCGCATAGTTCTGTAAGCATTTTTCGTCGTGGGGGTGATCCATGCGAAAATTCTGTGGGGGATGCATTTACCCATCATCCAATGCAACAACCGCACGACTCTCCGCAGGAAAATCTGCAGCTGGAAGCCGAAATTTCGAAGGTCTTGAGGCGAAGTGAAGGGGAATAAATCCACCTGTCCCTAGATTTATTGCTTTTATTGTCATGATCATTGCACTGCTGGTTGTCATGATATTATCATTCCTCATTACTCAAAAATGAATATCACACACACACATATATATATACACATATTGGCGCATATTGGCACTATTTCTATATTATCACTACCAAGAAATTATTATCATTCTGTTGCTTCGTTTTGTTTTCTGTCGCCAATGACTCATGGCAGCCCCAGTCCAGCCCAGGCAGAATTTGTGTCTGCGTGAGAACATCGCCAGTCCGCGCCGCAGACGATCCTTCCACGGTAGTTCCCGCAGCCCAATGGGAAACCCATTTGGGGTTGGGTTTTTACGATTTTTATACCACTGATTTCTGGTGAAATTGGGGATGGTTTACATTTATATGGTTCATTATTGGATTTGCTACATTGTAAGGAGTAAGAAACGTTTCAAAATCAGGTTTGGAAGGATGACGTTCGCCATGTTGGGGTTAACTTGTTTTTTTTGGGTGTATGTTGAAATGAGTGTCTTCCAATCTGGTTGTCTCAAGCACACGGGTTCTATTTTTGATATGATCACGGGCAGACATTTAATAGGATCAGATGATGTATGACGATTTATTGGTTTCATGGACCCCAGACTCTGCGTTTTCGGTGGCAGGTTGATGCTGGTTTTGAGCAACGAAGCGTAGACAAAACTATGCGCCTTGATCAACCCAGTAGATGATTTAGCGGCCGCACTGGCCACGATCAAAAGGATGTGAT